CCTGCCACCGAAGGCGAAGCTCGGGGGAGAAAATGGAAGGAAGCAAAGAATATAGCAGGGCAGAAGAAAGGAATTTCCTTTTGGATGCGTTAATAAAAAATCGTTGTTATTGAGGCATTTCGTCGAACATTTTTGGATCATGGCGGACATGTCGAGTTCAGACAGCCAAGAGTATCCCTGCGAAAGCTACGATCCCAACAATGATTACTTCTACCTGAAAGACATCGACGAAACTGACGAATCCAATTACGTTTACATCATCAACGCCGTCCTAAGCGGCACCGCCCGACTCAACGTTCTCTTACCAACCGCAACAATCTTAGCCTTCACCATATTCGCTCCTCTGCTCACCAACGACGGCCACTGCACCCGCCTAAGCAGGTGGCTGATGGGTTCCACGACCGTCCTCCTAGCAGCTTCCTGTATATTCTTTACCGTCATCGACAGTTTCCGAACAGCCACGGGTAGGCTATACTACGGAGTGGCGACGTACAGGGGCATATGGACTTTCAATGGCGGAAGGAAGAGGCCACGTTTACCGGCAGAGTACCGGCTGAGATGGAGTGATCTGTTCTACGCGTCGCTTTCGTTAGTGACGTTTCTGGCGTTTGCTGGGTCTCACAGTGATGTAGTGGCCTGCTATTATCCGGCGATGCCGAGGAAGGTGATCAATGTGGTTCCTCTAGTAATTGGGTTCGTAGTGAGCGTTCTGTTTGTGGTGTTTCCGTCCAGAAGAAGGGGCATTGGCTACCCGTTCTTGTTGCAGAGAGATGCTTACCACTCTAGAGTTTGACACACCATTTTTGTCTTTGTATCTTTTTTGTTTTTTTTTTTGTTTTTTGTTTTTTTTTTATTATTAAAAAAAGGTGTTTTTCATTCCAAAATTTACCAGCTGAACAAATAAAAGTTGAGCTATTTGAATCGGATTTAAATGGTTTCGTTCCTAATTGATACTCATATTTGCATAGATGACGTTCATGTTGTTTGCATATCATTTTTTGTTTTCTTTAGAAAACAGTTTATTTATTTTTTGCCTTTTAGGTGTTGCTAAGTTTTTGATGAGTTAAATTTATATATATATTAATGTAAAATTTTTACCTTAATAATATTAATATTTGAACAAATTTTATAAGATTTTGTATGGTTTTTATTCTTTGTGCAGAAAAAAACTTGAATGCATAATAGTAAGAGTTTTTGAGATTAGTTGAACATCTCCTAAAAGTTGAGAGACTGAATTGCAAGGAGAAAGGTGCTTCTTGGGGACCTAAGTGAATGAATCTTAAGTTTTGGGATCTATATTCTCATTTTGTAAAATATGAAAGACCAGATCTGAAATTTTACCATTAAAAAAATTGCAATCCGACGCGGGTGTAGTGTCGACACGTAATTCACAGTGTCCGCACCATGCCTTCAGCGTCCGTTCCAATTCCTACTTATTTTGTAATACGGTTTTTTAAACTCCATAAATACTTATTCAAAAATCAATTTTAGGGACTTTTGAGAGGAGACTAAGAGAGAGACAGTTGACAAGAATTCAACAAAAAAAAAGATAAGGCTTAAGATTTTATATCATCTTTGAATTTTATTTTATGATTTTAAACATTTATATATTTATAATGAGATTGTTGGTTTTTTTAAAAATTATGAATTGATTTAGTCATCTAAGACTATAATGTAATCTGATTAATTTAATATAGAATTTTATGATTTTTATATTTTAAAAGTTTATTATTTTATGTAAAGTATATATTATTGTTCTTAATGTTTTTTAATGATTGCCCACAATTAAAATTAATTTGGAGGGCACAATTAAGATCGAGAAGAGATTTTATGCAATAACTTCTAGTAATATATATTATGAATTGAATGGAAGTCAAAGATGAATTAACGTGATTCTTACAAATTAGTGATAAGTGAATTTATTTTTTTTTTTAAATTAAGAAATTTTATAGAATATAATATATTTTTATCTATTTAAATTCACATAGAGATATAATGATTTAATAAGTGAAAATAAGTTTGGTATAACTTGAAAAAGTATATCAAACAAGATAGGAAATTCCGCTGTCACATAAATAATAAATACCTTGAAAGTATATTAATTTAAATTCTGGATCAGTTGATTATGATGAGATCGAATGTCTTAACATTTCAAGTCTTGGTATTACTCAAAATCAATTATACTAAAAATAAATAAAATTAATTATTATAATTTATAGTGAAAATATTATATTTGATGCCAAAGAAATAAAGAAAAAAAAAGAAAAGGAAAAAGCTTTTTACTAATTAAATTATAATATTTAAAACCTTATAATTAGATTAATTAAAAAATTCTCCTCTTTTTCATTCTCTTCTCTTCTTTCTTTCTCTTTAATCCAAATATATTATAATAATATATATAATTATCTAATGTTTTATGATACATATATTTAAATTATTATATAATTTAAATTATATTAAACTATATATTAATGTTTGTTGAATAAGTTTCTTTGATATTACAATCCTCCTTTATTTAACTATTTTTATTTTGCAATGTAACTAAATGCAACTATAAAATAAAAATCCCATATATAATTTATATTAATTGGCATTTTAAAATAATTTAAATTCTTCGAAGATAAATAGAGTTGACTTTGATAAGGTTGCTGTGGAGGACAATTGTTGGCTTTCAATTCAAGTTTAATTTACAACACGGCATGGAAGATCTCGGCAGCATCGACGAATAACAGAATCTTGATCCCACACCCACTCAGTTGCTTATATAAACAGGGGTCAATACAGTCGGGGAAAGTCTTGCAGGAATCGACC